GGTAAGCCCTCAAAATGATGTTTTCGTATGAGCAAAGCACAGACTAATTCTGAGCAGTCATGGGTTTTTGATGCTCCTCCTTCAGGCTTGCGTTGGGCTGCATATCAGCCAGGTTACATCTATGAGCAGATTAAGAAGTATGAGGCTGAACGAACCGCCAACCAAAGCACATACTGGTGAGTAACGTGTCAAATAAAATTAACTCGTGTCAGTGTTTTATATTCAGCATTACAACATTTTTCTTCACCAGGGTGATATTTGAACTTCTGTGGAGAGATTACTTCAAGTTTGTGGGTATAAAATATGGAAACAGAGTATTTCATATGAATGGTAAGTCTGGATTTATTTTTTTTTTTTGTTCAGTGTCACATGATCCTTCAGAAATCATTCTAATATGCTGATTTGGTGCTCACAAAGTATTATCAGTGTTGATCAATATTATCAACATTAACAGTTGTGCTGCTTTTTGATTTTTCAGGATTCTTTGATGAATAGAAAGTTCAAAAGTAGAGCATTTATTTGAAATTTTGTAACATTACAAATGTCTTTACTGTTACTATCAATTTAATGCATCCTTGCTGAATAAAAGTTATAATTTCTTGCAAATAAAAAAAAAACATACTGACCCCAAACTTTCAAACTGTAGTGGAGGGCAAAACATGTAAATTCATTAAATACTTATTTTCTTTGAACATTTGAGTATTTATAACTGGTTCTTGAGTAACAGATTTTAAAGTGCTCAATTAAATTCTAATATCAGCAAATTAAATGTTTAAATGATTGTTTCTTCCTTCATTTATCTGAAGGTCTGCAAGACAAGCATGTGTCCTGGAAGACCGATATGACGTTGTTCAATGCATGGAAGGGTAATGTGACTCTTAGAATTTGCTAGTCTTTTTATCCAGTTCTTAATTTTGTACTTGATTTTATTAATCAACCGAAGAATGCACATTTCAATAGATTTTCTCTGAATGAAAAGTTAAATATTTTTCGCTTGTTTAGAGGGGAGAACTGGGGTGCCATTTGTAGATGCGAACATGAGGGAGCTTGCACTGACAGGATTCATGTCCAACAGAGGACGTCAAAATGTGGCCAGCTTTTTGACCAAAGACTTGGGCTTAGACTGGAGACTGGGTGCTGAGTGGTTCGAATATTTGCTGGTAGGAAACATTTGCTATGTGTGATGGAGTGGGTTGATGCTCTCTGCTTTTTGCTGCCGCTTGATGCGCTATTGTCTTTCATTGGTGTCAGGTGGACCATGACGTCTGCAGCAACTATGGAAACTGGCTCTATAGTGCTGGAATAGGAAATGACCCACGAGAAAACAGGAAGTTTAATATGATCAAACAAGGACTGGACTATGACAATAACGTAAGTTGTAGTTTTTACAGGTCTTTTACGGTAATAGCACATAAAACCAAAAAAAACACCTGCATTCTTGATTCATATATTTTGCTAGCACATCTAAACAAAAAAGTAAGAGAGTAGTTGTCACACTTATTCCTCCAGTGAATATTTCTCAGAGTAGATGTATTTTTAGAGCTTTATCATTTTGAAAAGTAATATTAGTTATTTGTATTCTTAAAACAAAAGGATAAACTTGAACTTTTATGACAACCTGCTCCAATAGCAATGCGTACAGTACTATGGGGTATGTTGTCACAGTGGATAAAAGTGACATTAAATAACCATAATTTAAGTAAAATAATGATAAAACAATTAATGGAACACTTAAATTGGAAAAGGAAACAAAAATATCAAACCATTGTTTTAATCAACATAAATGAAATGAAATGAAATGAAATAATTTAGCAGGTTAGTGACAATTAACAGGCTTTAGTAAAAAAATAAAATTTTATATATATATATATATATACCTGTATATAAAAAACAAAACAAAATAAATTACAGTTTTAAAAGTGCTTAATTATACTCTGATATCATTCAATTAAATAGATGTTTAGATGATTAAAATGATCATTAATAATAAATTAACAGCTGCTTTTGGTTCCTAAACTTATGTGAATCATATTCATAAAGGCACATCCTGGTATTTTCCACTTTTAAATACTCTTTATTGTTACTTCAGTGAGCAGGTTCTAAGTTGTCACAGTGGAACATGTCATTAAATAACCATAATTTAAACAGTAAAATCAAAAATACAATGAAATAACAAATCATAAAACACCAAAATTGATAAGGGAAGCATTAAAAAAAAATCTAACTATTGTTTTAGGATGGTTAAAATAATATAAATAAATAAATCATTCACCAACTCTTGAATATGGTAATATATCACCAAATTAAATGGATGTTTCAATAATTAAAATGACCATTAATAATAAATTGAAAGCTGCTTTTAGTGCCTAAACCTATGTGAATCATATTCGTAAAGGCATATCCTGGTATTTTCCACTTTGCTCTTCATTGTCACTTAAATGAGCAGGCTTAACTATGAGCGTAAGTGTAAATATAGGAAGAGGAAGTTACACATACTTTTAATGCGTCGGAGAGATTACTGCAGGATGATAAGGCATATTTTGATACAAAATTGACACTTGTGACATGTCTGTGAAGGGGGACTATGTGCGACAGTGGGTTCCAGAGCTTCAAGGAATTAAAGGTGGGGACATTCACACCCCCTGGACCCTCAGCAACTCTGCACTCTCACGCGCCCAGGTTTCACTCAACGAAACATACCCTTCCCCTGTCATCACAGCGCCTGAGTGGAGTCGCCATATCAACAACAAATCAGTAAGATTATTAGCAACATAACGTCATTGATTATTAGGGACAAAGATAAGCTTGTTTTTAAACATATTACACAATGTCATTTGTTATCTTTTCAGTCTGGTCCACCAGCAAAAGGAAGGAAGGGCTCATCGTACGCACCAAGACAGCACAAAGACAGAGGCATTGACTTCTACTTCTCCAAGAATAAGAGTTTCTGAGGAGGAGATGTCGTGGAAAAGTGCTTTTTCTGCTGCTGGGCATCACAAATAGACCCGAGGCATCTGTTTAGGCCACAGGTTACGCAGTGGAATGAGGAAGGGGAAATGAAAAATAGTTTGGTTTTGTGTTGCCCTTTCTGAATCTGTTTTCACACGCAGACACAGAAACCGCTGCTCACATTCTGAAGACATTTTTATGAACTGTAACTCAGATTTTCATGTATTTGTATATATTGTGTTGAATACAATATTGTATTTCTGGTGGTTTTAATAAATCCCTGTGAATGTCCTGGTGTAGTCAAGTATGATGAAAAGTTTTGGTTTGGAATTGTTTTTAAGGTTGTTATACCTAAAAATAAAAGGACTGGGATTTTTTTTTTTTGGTGAGTTTTCCCTCATCACATGAAACGGTGATGATATATGATGAAAACTGTAAGAAAACTGAAAAAGTTTGAATAGTGCGCACATAAAGAATATTTTCTTCATTTATTCAGAAAAAGGAAGTGAGAAGTGCCAACTGTTTCAGTTTGGTTTTAAAAACTGAGGGAAAACGCTGTAAAATACAGCTGTGTGCTGAGAACGCTATGATTACTTGTAAAAAAGTAAAAAGCAACCTTTTCCCCCCTCAAACTTTAAAGCATATTTATGATACATTAATTTCAATGACTTTTCTTAGGGTTACTCAATTTTATCATTTTAAAAATAAGTCAAAATATATGTTTCTTGTCAATAAAATTGCTTCCTGTATGTTGGTCAGACCACTGACTTTTGGTGGACAAAGTGTTAATATTTTACAACAAAATTGCTTCACTATCACTTAAACTGAACGCTAACAAAGCTGTAAACATAATTAGACAAAATATTGTATAATATTCTACACACTGAACCAAAACGCTTCTGCAAAAGAGACCATTTTAAACATTTCTCCTCCAAAATCAACTTAACCCCAGCGTAATCGCAGCGGAAATGGTCCATATTTGGTGTTGCTCGCTGTGCCTTTGGAAGCAGATCTGAGATCAGTGCTTGACTAATTTCTCCAGGATGCACAAAGTCCTGACACTGGTCCTGAAACAGTCGATCCCATAGATGTATATATACGGTCGATCCTGCCTTTTTACGTGAACATACGCGCGCTCATGACTCCATTGGCTGTACGTGTATTTCGTCATTTCTCTGACGTTTTTTTGCGAACATTTCCTCAATCTTCACGTAGTTGTTTATTGTACTGTACTGCGTAGCAAACCACAGTTCGTGATTTTTTTATTTCCCTCAGTTTATCGGTAGCGTCGGAAAATGACACCTTAAAATATTTAACTTTTGTATCACTTTCCTCTTCTCGAGTTAAACGCGGAGATTAACAACTTTAGTTTTTATAAATCCGATTTTGCCATAAATATGAATAAATTACAGTTTTAAAAGTGCTTAATTATACTCTGATATCATTCAATTAAATAGATGTTTAGATGATTAAAATGATCATTAATAATAAATTAACAGCTGCTTTTGGTTCCTAAACTTATGTGAATCATATTCATAAAGGCACATCCTGGTATTTTCCACTTTTAAATACTCTTTATTGTTACTTCAGTGAGCAGGTTCTAAGTTGTCACAGTGGAACATGTCATTAAATAACCATAATTTAAACAGTAAAATAAAAAATACAATGAAATAACAAATCATAAAACACCAAAATTGATAAGGGAAGCATTAAAAAAAAATCTAACTATTGTTTTAGGATGGTTAAAATAATATAAATAAATAAATCATTCACCAACTCTTGAATATGGTAATATATCACCAAATTAAATGGATGTTTCAATAATTAAAATGACCATTAATAATAAATTGAAAGCTGCTTTTAGTGCCTAAACCTATGTGAATCATATTCGTAAAGGCATATCCTGGTATTTTCCACTTTGCTCTTCATTGTCACTTAAATGAGCAGGCTTAACTATGAGCGTAAGTGTAAATATAGGAAGAGGAAGTTACACATACTTTTAATGCGTCGGAGAGATTACTGCAGGATGATAAGGCATATTTTGATACAAAATTGACACTTGTGACATGTCTGTGAAGGGGGACTATGTGCGACAGTGGGTTCCAGAGCTTCAAGGAATTAAAGGTGGGGACATTCACACCCCCTGGACCCTCAGCAACTCTGCACTCTCACGCGCCCAGGTTTCACTCAACGAAACATACCCTTCCCCTGTCATCACAGCGCCTGAGTGGAGTCGCCATATCAACAACAAATCAGTAAGATTATTAGCAACATAACGTCATTGATTATTAGGGACAAAGATAAGCTTGTTTTTAAACATATTACACAATGTCATTTGTTATCTTTTCAGTCTGGTCCACCAGCAAAAGGAAGGAAGGGCTCATCGTACGCACCAAGACAGCACAAAGACAGAGGCATTGACTTCTACTTCTCCAAGAATAAGAGTTTCTGAGGAGGAGATGTCGTGGAAAAGTGCTTTTTCTGCTGCTGGGCATCACAAATAGACCCGAGGCATCTGTTTAGGCCACAGGTTACGCAGTGGAATGAGGAAGGGGAAATGAAAAATAGTTTGGTTTTGTGTTGCCCTTTCTGAATCTGTTTTCACACGCAGACACAGAAACCGCTGCTCACATTCTGAAGACATTTTTATGAACTGTAACTCAGATTTTCATGTATTTGTATATATTGTGTTGAATACAATATTGTATTTCTGGTGGTTTTAATAAATCCCTGTGAATGTCCTGGTGTAGTCAAGTATGATGAAAAGTTTTGGTTTGGAATTGTTTTTAAGGTTGTTATACCTAAAAATAAAAGGACTGGGATTTTTTTTTTTGGTGAGTTTGCCCTCATCACATGAAACGGTGATGATATATGATGAAAACTGTAAGAAAACTGAAAAAGTTTGAATAGTGCGCACATAAAGAATATTTTCTTCATTTATTCAGAAAAAGGAAGTGAGAAGTGCCAACTGTTTCAGTTTGGTTTTAAAAACTGAGGGAAAACGCTGTAAAATACAGCTGTGTGCTGAGAACGCTATGATTACTTGTAAAAAAGTAAAAAGCAACCTTTTCCCCCCTCAAACTTTAAAGCATATTTATGATACATTAATTTCAATGACTTTTCTTAGGGTTACTCAATTTTATCATTTTAAAAATAAGTCAAAATATATGTTTCTTGTCAATAAAATTGCTTCCTGTATGTTGGTCAGACCACTGACTTTTGGTGGACAAAGTGTTAATATTTTACAACAAAATTGCTTCACTATCACTTAAACTGAACGCTAACAAAGCTGTAAACATAATTAGACAAAATATTGTATAATATTCTACACACTGAACCAAAACGCTTCTGCAAAAGAGACCATTTTAAACATTTCTCCTCCAAAATCAACTTAACCCCAGCGTAATCGCAGCGGAAATGGTCCATATTTGGTGTTGCTCGCTGTGCCTTTGGAAGCAGATCTGAGATCAGTGCTTGACTAATTTCTCCAGGATGCACAAAGTCCTGACACTGGTCCTGAAACAGTCGATCCCATAGATGTATATATACGGTCGATCCTGCCTTTTTACGTGAACATACGCGCGCTCATGACTCCATTGGCTGTACGTGTATTTCGTCATTTCTCTGACGTTTTTTTGCGAACATTTCCTCAATCTTCACGTAGTTGTTTATTGTACTGTACTGCGTAGCAAACCACAGTTCGTGATTTTTTTATTTCCCTCAGTTTATCGGTAGCGTCGGAAAATGACACCTTAAAATATTTAACTTTTGTATCACTTTCCTCTTCTCGAGTTAAACGCGGAGATTAACAACTTTAGTTTTTATAAGTCCGATTTTGCCATAAATATGGCATCAAAATCAAGTATAGACTATGAAGCGATTCCAATAACAGCTTTAAACTGCAGTTTCCGAAAGAAACTTGGGCTGTATTTGAATCCAACAAACACAGTGGCAGCAGACTGGAGGACAGTCGCCGAAATGATGGACTTTACCTACCTGGAGATCAAAAACTTCGAGAAAAGAGACTATCCCCTTGAAAAGGTCTTAACGGAGTGGGAAACTCGTCCAGAGGCAACAGTAGCAAATTTACTGTCGATTTTAGAAAAAGCTGAAAGGAAAGATGTTATATCTGACCTCAAAGAAATTATAGGTATGTCAACAAGATTTTATTTATATTACATCATTTATATTATAATATAACTATGAACTATTGCTTAATCCTGGCTTAGTCTAAGCCCCGTCTGTGATACCAGGCCCTAATGTTTTATGAATTATGTATATGCTTTAAATAACTAAATTGAATTAATTTAAATGCTTTATTGTCACATTATTATCAATATTAGTATTGTTTTTCATGTCAGTTAAAAAAATAACAATTTACAAAAGGAAAGGAAAATTTTACAGAAAGGAAAATAACAGAACAGAACAATAATAGATAACAGAACGGATAAAAGAATAACAGAATTTAACCCTAACAGAATTATTTAACAGAGCCACCCACAAGTAGAAAAACACGTTATTGCAATTCTTGTCCACTCACTTAAACAAAAGTTGTCTGTTTATTGAAACATCTTTTCAGAAAATTAAGCCATATCCCTAAAACAGAAGGGGGAAAAAATCTCCAAAGAGCATGATTGAGAAAAGAATGACTAATTCTGAGGAAATGAAAACAAATGAAATGGCTCTCATTATTTTGGACAACAGAGAAGATCTCCACCTAAGTGCTGTTGTATGTTGTTGGTGTTTGTGCACAGATGATGACTGCAGGAAGTATTTGGAAAGACAACAGAGGAAGCCTGTCCAGGTTCCAGTGGTGGACAGCTGTGGGCCGCGCACACAGGAGCGAGAAGGCATCACACTGTATGATGATCCACAAGGTGAGTTGTCCCTGTTCTGTCTGAATGCACTGTGGAGTTAGTTGTGTAGCAGATTACCAAACTAATCATTGTCTTCACTGGACAGGACTGACACCGGAGACCTTTGATGCTTTCATCTGCTATTGTCAGAATGACTTTCAGTTTGTGCATGAGATGATCAAACAGTTGGAACAGACTAAATACAACCTGAAGCTGTGTGTCTTTGACCGAGATGTCCTTCCTGGCACGTGCGTGTGGACCATCGCCAGTGAGCTCATAGAGAAAAGGCAAGTTGGTTTGGGGTTATTTATCATCCAATGCTCACTTAAAGGTAATGTTTAAAAAATATAATAATAATAATTTAAGAATAATTTTTGTTGTAATATTTAGCAAATATAAAAATGAATATCTGTTCTTTATCACGTACATTATATTGCTGTGGTGTCTTTTATTTTTAATTTGTTTATACAAAATAGTCTATAACAGTAATATCAGCCATTTATTGTGTGTCAGTCATAAAATAATTATTTAAAAAATCTGCTTTTGGTATTGGCCAGCAGAATTTTAATATCTGTGCATTCCTAGCTATTATTATTATATGCATTTTATACATTTATAAATTCTTGATGAATTGTTTAATATCTTTAAATGTTTGTGGTCAGTTGTAATCTTTTTTTTTTTTTGCCCTTTAGGTGCAAGAGGATGGTGGTGGTCATTTCTGATGACTATCTGGACAGTGATGCATGTGACTTTCAGACCAAGTTTGCACTCAGCCTTTGCCCAGGTACACCATTTTTCTTAAAGGGGTCATATGATGCTGCTAAAAAGAACATTATTTTGTATATTTGGTGTAATGAAATGTGTTTATGCGGTTTAAAGTTAAAAAAACACATTATTTTCCACATACTGTACATTATTGTTTCTCCTCTATGCCCCGCCTTTTTGAAACGCGTCGATTTTTACAAAACTAATCGGTCTGAAAAGCGAGGTGTGCTCTGATTGGCCAGCTATCCAATGCGTTGTGATTGGCCGAATACCTCAAGCGCGTGAC